AAAAAAGAATAGTCAAATGAGTACAGCCTCATGGAAGGCAAGAGATGAATTTTAAGTTTCCTAAGGGTACACACAATGCAGGATACAATGAAGACATTAAAATAATTTATGAAGATCAAATACTATGGGGAAATGCTAATGTTATATTTAGAGAATATAAAAGGCAAATATCATATCCAACTTTTAAAAAAAATGCACATAAAAATACTATAAGGAAGTATACCAAAGTGTTGACAAAGATTGCCACTAGGGGGGTAGGGAAAAATTACATTATATATACAAGTATATAATTTCTATATATAGAATACATATTTAACATCTATATTTTAATTTTCTATGGTAAACAGGTATTGCTTTTGTAATTAAAGAAAAAAACATACTTTGAAACCTTGGGAATCAGTGATATACATAAAGGATATTTTTAAAGATTCTGCATTTCATCTACCTAGTTCTAAGTTTTCATCCTCAAAACATCCAAAAAACATTGTACTTGAATCACAAAATGCTGACTTAAGGAAAATGACATCACTGAGTTTTATGCATGATTAGGTCCTTGGGAAGGACACCCTAACAAACAGCCTTACGCAGGCTATTACTACATTAACTGGACCACACTTTTAGGGAATTATCCACTGCATCACTTAATAGCTTTGACATGGAGGTCTACAGAAGAAATTTCTTTACAAGTATTCAGAAAACCTTTTGTTTCCCTGCAAATATTTAGCATGTTCTCTTGGAGATCTATGTACTTTCCTGTTTAAAAGATACAAAGATGTGATGTCTCCATTTTCCCTTTGGCTTCTAGGAAGCTTATAGCTAAAATTAATACTGCTCATCTAGGTAAATTCCTGTGGCCTGCATAGCTGTGTCCTAGTCCCCCCTACCCCAAACTCCATACCTCCTCAAGACCTCCATTCTTATTGCTATTTTCCCTCGTCTGCAGTTGGAATATCTTATTTATAGTCTTACCTTTTTGTTTGTACATGTTTTTGCTGTAAGCTAACACATATTTGTGGCATATAATATTTGTAAAATAAGTGGGATAAAAATATCACTTGTGTACACATTAACTTTAAACATCACAGGAAAAGATGCATACCAATATATGGTCCAAATTTTTGGTTAATAAAAAACTTTAAGCTAGAATCGTGCCTTTCAAATGTACTTCTTTAAGAATAGGCAGTGCTGTGCCAGGGGCTTCAAGGACCACAGGAGACACATGATGCATGCATTTTACTACACAGTAATTTAAAATACTACTTTGTTTTCAAATATACACTAATTAAAAAGTTTAAAGTGCTTGGGAATTTTTTAAGATGACTAGACGTTTAAGAAATTTCATTCTTGCCTGGAGCTTATTCAGTGTATACTCTCAAATTTACCAGCTCTCTTCCCAGCCCAACATATTCCTACCTCCTCCGTGAGTTTGCTCTTAAGTTAGGAGTATTTTTGGTAGAAAAGTTTGAAATATACTATTGTACAGAAACATTAACAGTTACATTTAATATTGTTAGCAATAGTTACCAACAGGATTATCAATAAACAATAAAACGAACTCTGGAGTTGTGCAGGCCAGAAGCCAGGCTACCTACACAGAGGAACTTGCTGTTAGAGGGCTCTGCAAGTCCTAAGAGGCCACAGACATTCTTTTGTATGTACGACTTGTATATTTTTTTATGTTTGAGTTTCTTGTACATCACTGGTATTAACAGCAAGTATGCAATATTAAAATTCCTCTAGAACTCTTAGGTAATCAAAATTGTGTAAAAGCCATGAGTATCTGGAGTATATATGTATTTTTTCTGAACTCCCAATTTGATCGTAAGTTACCTTATAAAGGTATTTTTGCAAAAATCCTTAATTATCTATAATGCCATCTGTACTTTTTATTCACATAAACCATTCCCAACCTCTCCACATGTATATGTGTCAAACTTTTACTGATATTACCTGTTTATGGGCATTATCACTTTGTCACTAAGATGATCTGCTAGTAAAATTTAAAACTATACATGTGGAGACAAGTAAACAACCAACAGTAATAAGTGTCGAATGACTTTTGAAATGTGTTACCCTTAAACAAAATTAAATTCTATGCAAACTATCTGCCTTAAACTCACTGAATCATTACTTCACCATACACTTGGGTCCCTACTGAGTGCCAGGCACCCTGTTAGGCACTGAAGATTTCAGTGTGGTTAACGACACACAGGACTGCTCTAAACCAGAGTTCACAATCCAGTTTGGATACACCTTCCCTGCACTTATCAATTTATTTTCATTGAAAAAACAAAGAGACATCTGCTCTCTAGGAACTCATAATGTACATGTGTATTTTAAAAAGCATCCTTTCCTAAGGAAGGTAAAGACAGAAAACAGCCTTTAAATCAGAACAAATAACTTCACTTATTCTATGGACATAAGCAGTTTCGCCATTTGATCCTGACATGAACAGACTATACCAACTAAAACTGGTTGGGTGTGCTTTTTAAAAGAAACTCTGAAATATAAAAGACAACTTCGCTATACACTGCAGTTCCTCAGCAGTAACTTTAAGCATGTTAGGCCGGTGAGAAATAATTCTTGTCCAGTACCATAGTTATCATATATAGGTATCACATATAGCAGCTGGTAAATACATTGAGCAAGGATTACTAATAACACTATTCCCTAGAGAGTAATTTCGTCTCATAACAGAAATAAGTAAACAAATGCTTCTTAGGAAGCTTTTTTTTTTTTTTAAGGAAAACAGATGCATCAATGTTTGTGGATATCTGTAACACTTTACCTATATATAGAGGTTTCATTAAAATGAAACCAAAGTCTGAAAATAGTACATACATTTGCCTATGGCTAAATACCCCTCTATGTACCAAAGGAAGTTAAACAGCACTAACAAGCTGTATAAAGCCTACTACAAAATATAGTGCACAACAGTTTACCTTCAAAGCTGCTTCAAAAACATGTTATTAAACAGTAAGTGCTAATTTCCATATAAGAAAAAGACTATAAATGAATTAGCTAAACTCTTCTACATATTCTATACATAGGAACTTTGCCACATCCTCACTCCCATGTGAGGGTGAGTTCTTTGCCAAATACCTACAAGGAGTTTCAAAAACATATTTATACAAAGCTTTAACACACATACACCAACAAGCAGTGTGTGTGTGTAAACACACATATAAAAACACCAGCTTACTGTTTTTTGGCTTCTCTAGTTAACCAACTATCCTGAACAGGCTGCTCTTAAAAATGGCCCTTGCCCAGTAAATCAACAGCAAACAAACTACAAGAAATGCAATGCATCTGGCAGGGAAAAAAAATAAAAATCTGCCAGTAAAACTTGTAAGTGGGCCACATAGTAACAAGTAACAACTGACAGTATCAAAATGGCAATTTTTAAGTGCTGCCCTTAAATGAAACATTAAGCAGAATTACAGTATACTTTCAAACCAGATAACCAGTACCAGTCATCTTCACTAAATTATTACATTAGCTCAAAAGATTTATGTGTCCCTACTGTGTGTCGGACACTATCAAAGACGGAGGTTTCAGCCTGAACAAGCAGGTAAAGAAAGACCCTACTCTGAAGGTGTTTATATATATAATCCAGTGAAATATCTTCAGGAAGTTTCAACACCGCAAATACTCAGTGACTGAAACAAAGAAAGGTAAAGATTTTCTTGGGAGTTGGGAAAAAAAAAATCTAACACAAGAATTACTTTAAGCTTTTCTAACAATGTTCTGTACATGTGGACAAATTTTTACTGAATGTGGTTTCTGATGCATTATAACAAAGACTAAAGGAATGAAAATGAGGAAAAAATCAAAACAGGATACATATGGGTTTATTAAAGGTTATTTTCCTCTTTCTTTAAAAAACAGGTACGGACAGGCATATACCTGTTGACGTGGTATCAATATTCCTGCGGAGCCCTTTAGAGCACCCACACCAGTGTAAGTTTTAAAGGTTAAACAATGGCATGTAACAGATAACCACAGACAGTAAGTATTTTCATTTGGAATGAGCCGTGTTCACAGGGCACAATAAATCAAGTAAGAATCTTCCTCTTTCTCTAGGTGTTTGTAAACCTTCCCCAGCGGCCCCTTCTCCCCCTTCCTCCCCCCCACTGATCCCTTTAGGCACTAGCAAGTCTTTTTTTTTTTTTTTTCCTTTAGCAGAGGGAGTGACGTGGCAGGAGAGGCAGAAAATGACCCCGGAGGAGCCGTGGCGAAGGCTGAGCTCAGCACCTCCTCCCTCCGCTCCACGTTGTACACCCAGCACACCCCCCACTCCTATAGGGTTCCAGAAATTCTGTCTTTTTAGGAGAGGGGATTTGATTGGAAGTGTGAGCTTGAGGACCAGTCTTGAAGCTGCGTGTGCTCGGCAGGCAGGGCTTTCGTCTTGGGAGGCAGTGATGGCACCAGTGGGCGCTCCAGCGGTCCCCGGTTACCCTCGGGCGCCGCCAGCGCCTCTCTCCATTCCCACTTTCAGGTTCAGGTCAGGCGTGGGGGTAGAGCTTTCCTACCTGGGAAGAGCACGGGGACTGTCCACTGGGGACCAGGGCTTGTGTGCCTGACCCCGAGAGAGGGGTTTAGCAACAGGTCAGGAGTTGGTGGGGCTGGGAGCCCCGCACACAGCCGCTCTGCTGCAACCCTCTCCTCTCCCAGGCTGCTGACTCCCCCATTCCCCCAGCATGACACCCAAGGAGCAAAGAAGTCAGGCGGAGGCTTCCATGGGGAGTCCCCAATCTCAGACCACGGTGGAGGAGTCAGCGACAGGTAAAGACAAATAACCCCGCCAGCGAACCTCCATCCGCCCCCAACATCGTCCAGCCCCTCCCCCTTTCCCCCTCGGTACCCCCAATAGGCCCCACTCGGGGTCGCCAGGCCCGGAGACGGGAGGAGGTGAGCAGCAAGAGAGCTAACGGAAGAAGGAGACGGAGAAGACGGCAGGAAGCCGGGACGGCATCCCCCGCCCTCGCAGCCCGACTTACCGCCGGGGTCGGGGGCCCCCGCCTGGGGCCGAGGCCGGGCGGAGGGAGCGGGCAGCACCGAGAAGGGCTGAGGCAGCCTGGGTGGCTGGCACAGCCCCGGGCGGTTGCGGACCTGGAGGCGCCTCCTCAAGCTGTGGAGGCAGAAGTCCCCGTTGACGGAGGCGTCGGCCTCTGGCTGCGGACGTGGCGCCGGACGCGACCCGCCCCCTCTGTCGCCTCCTCAGCTCCCGCCTCCTCCCGCGGCTCGGGCTCAGACGCGCACGCGCACCCCGGGGCCTCTCCCGCGCCCACCCGTTTCTCGAACTGCCCCGCTCTCCCAGGAGCCCCCTGCCTGCCGCCTGCCGACGTGCGCACGCGCGACTCCCCCAAGGCCTGCTCCCGCCCCTACGCCCCCTGGGTACCTCCGCGGCCGCTCTGCGCGCGCGCCTTCTCTAGGGGTCTCCCCGCCTCCTTTTCTCGGTCGTCCAATCAGATCCTGCGAGGGGCACGGAGCCCCGGGAACACCGAGGCTGCGGCCCTCGCACAAACTCGGGCGAGTACCTGAAGCCGTAGTTCCGCTACTATAACGGTCGCTCGGAATTCAGAACCTTCGCCCTAGGGAAGGTGTGTCGGTCGCCAATTTCCCCTGCCCTTTCTTTTTCCTGGGGTCTCAACCTGCTTTCCTTACCTGCTTCCTCTCGGGGTAGTGACGAGCCGGGCCTTCTCGCGTCCCTTCACTTTGACGCCCTCTGCACGATTTTACTGTGCAGTTTGACAGGGATGACGAGAGAGACATTGCTCATGTATGATTGTGTTTATTGGGAAAGCTTCCCTGCCCTTGAATTGAGCTTTTTGAGAGTAAGAACCCCTCGCTGGTTCGTTCGTCGTCGTCACCCAGCTCTTACTGCAATGCCGGGGGCTCGCCAAGCACGCGAAATTTGCTTAAGAGGGTGGGTGTTTAGTGGTGAAAAGAGAAGTGAATTGGAAATGAGCAAAACCTGGCATTAGGCCGCTCCGCCACGTACTGACTAGCAAGCACTGTGCTTCACGTCTCCCCGTCTTGGCAGAGGTTCTGCTTGCCGTCCTCCAAGGTGTTGAGAAGAGTGTAGTGGCAGGTAAGAGGATACTGTCTGGACCTCAGCTCCAGGTGATGTGAAGAACTCTCTGCGCGTCAAAGTAGGGGTTGTAATAGCCCACTTCATAGGTTCTTGCGAAGACTAAACGAGATACGTTGCACAAAGGCTGCTGAACCAGATTAATGGTATCTGTTAACCTGTTTGCCTCTCTTTCCACACCTATAAAATGAAGATGACAATAAATCATGGGTTTATTGAGAGAATCAAGAGATACTGGGTGTGAAGGAGCTTTATAAACCGGGAAGCTTTATAAACTGTACAAGCGTAAGATCTTCCTTCACAATCTAGTTAGCAAGACAAAACTCATGAAGCAACCAGTAGATAACCTCACAAGATGTTTTTTCAAGTGCAAAATAATCAGGTCGTGCAACTGAATAACTATTGACGAGGCTCAGAAAAGTACAAGCTCACCAAGGAAAGCATCCTGGAAGATGCTGACTTTTCTTCTTAAATGGAGTGGACTAAATATAGTTTGTGGTTTCACTGTAATCATTGATTTACCAAAGCAGCAAATCAAATCCGCTTAGATCATTGTGCTGAGACTATCAAGATATTTTAGTTTTCCAGAACTGAAGAGGATATTAAATCATCTTGTCACTTTACAATCTGATTTGGATGAGGAGGCGGGTTTATGGATTGTGTTTACCTAGCATGTGAAGAGGTGCCTACCTACTCTATTTTCTTGTTTCACCTAAATCTCTGTCTTCAATAAGTGATCTTTCCAGGGTGAACACTAGGCAAAAATTAAAGTGCACAGTTTCATTGTTTCTGCTTCCCCTTGCACTTCTTTCTCTCTACAGGAGAATTTAAACACTACTAAAGTATGAATGGCTGATAAAACTGTAGCCACTCCTGGGAGATTTTGCATTTTTACAGTTATTAAAGCCATAATCCACAGCAGTGGTTGAAACCATCTTATAAACCAACTGAGATGTAAGGGAGCTGTGGGGTGGAGGTTGTGAATTCACTAGAACCTTCTGAAACTGCAAGTATAGGTAGTCATGTATTTCTTGTAGCTGACACTAGTCATTTCTTATTGCCTCAGTTTTCTTACCTATAAAAATGAATAGTACCATTTAGTGCCCATGCACCCTTAGATTTAAAATGAAAATAAATACTATAATTTTGATGGAATGGCTTCTACAGAGGGATGCTTTCTTTATTTGGGATATCTTGGTGCAGCAGAAGGAGCTTCAAGGAAATGAGGCCCTATTCATTTTATAGATTAAATCCACTCAACTCTTCATTTCTGGCCTGAAAGCCCATTCTTAGATTATTAAAATGAAACTTTTTATTTCTGGATGTTATTTTTGAAAGATTGTATAATGTCTTAGAATATTGATAGTCCCAATAGTCCTTCAGGCAATAACTCTCTTTTAATGGAACAAATTCTTAATACAGCCTGTATCGATTATGCAATCTCTTAAATGGCTAAGTTTTCCTCTAGTTGATTACACAGAGCCTTTTGCGTTATTGAAAAACTAGAGCAATTATTGGGTTGTAGGAAAAGTCATGACGCATTTTTGCAACTGAAAACATAGAAAAAATACGTCATGACTTTTCCAACAACCCAACAGATGTGACATCGCATACTTAACAGTGTCGGGTAGTTCAAAAAGTAAGGGCCAGAAAGAAGCAACCTGGAAACCAGAAACATGGAAGCAAGAAAAACATTATTTATAGACTAATAGTACATTGAAATTGAAAGAGAAGCCAATCCAACCTTTTGTCCATCACATGACTACCTGCTAGCATATTAACAATAACAGTTCATTGTTGAGTTGTCATCCACTCTTCTCCATGTTCCTATGTGAACTCCTTTAAATGACAAATCACTTGGTGTAGTAGGGGCCACACATTTTCCTATTTCATCATGTTTTATAGCTATGCTGGCATTTTTAAATGAGCTGGACAATTAACAGCTTTATATAGATTACCGCCCAATGTCAATTGCTTTGCTTTTCTATCTTCACTTTCTTACTATTCTTTGACTTTCCTGGCACAAGTACCTGGAGTATTCTTGGTTTTCCTTTCTCTGCCCCAATCTCCTTCTTAATCTTTTCTGTGACATAACAATAATAACTAGGATTTATTTGTTTTTAGTATGTATCATCTTATTTCTCCCAACAATCTAATGAGGCAAGTACTATTATCCCCATATGTATATGAGGAAACTGAGTCATAGACAAGTTAGATAATTTACCCAAGGGCCCACAGCTAGTGAAGAGCAGACCCAGGAATCAAACCACTTTTTTTTTTTCTGACTCCAGGGCCTAAGTTCTTAACTACTATATTCTGAGGAAGAGAAAAGGTGTCGCTGATAACAAGTAGCTGGCCTGGTGCTGTTAGCTGGGCCTTGGTGTGTCCCGTTGAACAAAAACAGTTTCAGAGAACATCAACATCAGAAAAGGTCACTCCATGACCATGATGGATCAGGACAAAAAAGACTACTCCATAATTATGTCCAAACACAGGCAAAAACATAAACCTTATCCAAGCCTCCAAGTAGAATACACAAACTGAAAATATCAAACTAATACGAGTGGCTGTTACTTCTTTATCAATTACAGCATTAGCCTCAGTCTAGTCTTCCCTTTTTCTACATAAGATTTATTGAAGGGCCGGCTGAGTGGCTCAGTTGGTTAAGAGCTCGCTCAAGAGTTTGAGCTCTGAGCAACAGCGGTTCGAGTCAGCCTGAGCTGAGCAGCCGTGAGCTGCCAACAGGTGGCGGGATGGCTCAGCTAAAAAAAAAAAAAAAGATTTATTGAGATACCCAGTCATATAGTTACCCCTGCTTCCTGACAGCATCTAATTTAGAGCAAAGTCCCCCAAGTCACCTAACACAAGCCCAAATCTTAATATAAATCTTTTCTAACACCCTCTTATTAAGATGCCTCACAGTTCCCCATAATGTGTGTTCTCCCTTGCTGCAACATGTAATAAGCTCAACTTATTCAACCACAGGTGTGCTCCTGGATAGAGAATTTTGTCAATTTGGACTGCCTTATTCTATGCATGTCTATGAAGTGAAAAACTTACTACATAGGCATTTCTTGCCAGTCAGAGAAACAGAACTGCCCTCCCATCACCAGCCACAGGATTGTCACACTAAAGCCAGTGGGTTTCCTTCTTTTTTGTAGATTCTGTATTGAATGTCTGCTAAGTGCAACCATATCAAAAGATAGTGAAAAGAAACAAATGATGCTGGAATAATTTGACATCATTTAGCAAGAAAAAAAAAAGAACTTGAACGTGTCAATCCATACCTTGTACCACATGCAAACTAGCTGAAAATGGATCATAAATCTAAAGGTAAAATTGTAAAGCTTTTAGAAGATTGCATAAGAGAAAAACCTTTGTGATTTTGGGTGAAGCAAAAAATGTCAGCTACAACACCTAAAGCACAATCTATAAAAGACAAAAATGTTTTAATTTATAAAACTGCTCTTTGGATGACAATGTTAAAGAAAAAAGAAAAGAAAAAAAAGATAACACACTGCGAGAAAATATTTGCAAAACACATATCTGATAAATTACTCCAGAATATATGAAGAACTACAACTCAACAAGAAGACTAATAAACCAATTTTTAAAAAACATCAGCATAAATTGAATGATCACCATAGAAGATGTATGGATGGCACAAGAAATGATGCTCAGTATCACGAGTCATTAGGGAAATGCAAATCAAAACCACAATGATCCTGAATAAACAGTTTATTTAAGATACCAAAAAAAACACCAAAAAACACACAATGAAATCTCACTACTAGGTTAAAATAAAAATAATTCCAAATGCAGTTGAGGATGTGGAGCAACTAGAACTCCCAGACTTTGTTGATGCAAATGCAGAGTGGCAGAAACACTTAGAATAACAATTCGTCAGTTTCTTATAAAGTTAAAACATATACTTATCATATGACCCAGCAATCTAGCTCCTAGAAACATGTGAAAACATGTTTCACACAGAAACCTGGACACAAATTTTATAATAGCCAAAAACTGAAAACAGTCTAAATGCCTTTTAATTGGTAAATGGATAAGCAAATGGTAGTACATATATACAACAGAATTAACTCATAAATAAAAGGAATGAACTAGTGATACAACATGAATGAATCTCAAATGTATTATTCTAAGTGGAAGATGGAAACTCAAAAATCTACATACTGATGCTTTCATTTATGTGACATTCTGGAAAAGCCAAAACTACAGTGAAAGGAAACAAATCAGTGCTGCCTGGGTGTTGGGAAGGATTAACTACAAAGGGGCTTGAGGGAATTTGGGGTGTGGGGACTGATGGAACTGTTCTATATCTTAAGTGTGATGTGTGTTACACAATGTCTGCATCTTTCAAAACTCAGAACTATACACTAAAAAGAGCAATTTTATTGTATGTAAATTATATCAATAAGTATGACAAAAAAGATGTTGAAATGTAAAAAATGCTGGGATGAAATAGGGCCAATATGAAGACAATATGAAGTAGCTCACTTGATACTAAATTCTAAATCTAAAAAAATAAATAAATTATTAGTGCATAATTCATGTTATGAAAGAACTTGTCTTTCTTGTAGAGTAACAGTTCATAGTACATTGAAATTTTTATTTATGAAGAGGTAACACTTGATTAATAGTGGAACAACAAAACTGAAGTTGAAAGTCACTGCCAATTGATGATCAATCACAGATGAACATAAAGCATCTCTGAAACTGTCAGAATTGTGGGAAAATGTAATTGGATTTCAAGAACTGATTTACAGTTTTTCAGGAACATTTTTGTTGGACAAATGTGGTTCCTGACGCTACACTGTAGAGGTAAGGAGCATTTGAAAGCAGAAAGTAGCCAACAGTGGTCAAATGTGGTGAGCAATTAGGCAAAAACATAAAATCAAATTGAGCATCTTATAACTCAAGTTGTATTACTGAAATTACCATGAAGTGCTGACCTTTAGGAGCGTAAGTGGCTGCTCTCCTTTAGACTTAGGGAAGGGAATGAAGATGTGAGCGAATAAACTAGAATGATTTAAAATGTGCAAATACATTTTGTAGCCTCTATTGTGTGATTTAGAGATCTAGCAGAGATACAGGTGGATTAATTGGAGGTTAATTTCACAGTTCATGCTAATAGTTCTGCCATTTGAATTCACCAATAATGTCTGCCACAGTGGACCAAGTTCTCTCTGACCACTGGAAACAAACATTCATCCTGGGCCTCCACCAGTGCTCAAGAAGGCCTGCTTTTGATGGATTTCCTAATTTTCCATTTCTCCAATGGCGGTAATTGGCCAGTCTTTATTCTGCCTAAGTGTTCCAGGCTTCCTCTAAGAGGCCCTTAGAGAAGACTGCATAGTACCTGGAAACCTTCCAGTTTTGCTTACAGAATTCAGTCTCACAGTTTCCTGGGTGAGTATAAAATTTCATCAGACTGCCATAGAGCTGTTCTCTGCTGAAAGGGTCTCAATGAGCCAGCTTGGTTTATCTACCAACTCTTCTAGCATCGTAGCTACTATCGTCCTTGTTCTCCTGGAGTTTCTTGACTTTGGGACTCTGCCAAGATAACTTTTTCATAAAGGAGTAAAACTTTTGGGTCAGGCATTTCATGTATGTTTTTTGGGGTCAACCAGTTGCACTTTGGGGTCTTTCACAGAGTTGTCTTTAATTTGTATATTCCTAGTCAGGGACTCCGAATCATCAGACTTGCCTAGTGTCTCTTCCTCCTGGTCAACCACAGTGAGTTGTAAAGAAGTAACTCCATCTGACTTACCCCCATTGTTTAGCCTGAGTTCAAGTTCGTCTTTGGCATTCGTCAGTTGCTGAATTCTCTCCAAGTCTCCTAACTTGGACCTGGGACGGAGAGTCTGTAATTGTTGAAGATTCTCTTTTACTCCTTCTGTCAATTGCTAAATTTGCTCTCCTTTTCTTCTTTCAGCCATTGAAGGTTTGTCAGACTCATCTCTCGCAATGACTTAGAATTTCTCAAGCCCAGTGTAGCCTGCATGTTTTGCATTCCCGTCCCTAACCCCTCTCTGGTTAGAAGAGGCAGTGCATGCTACAGTGTGTACACTGAAGGCGATAGTTCCCAAAAGGAGGGACTTCAATTATGAAAGGTAAACTATTAACCAATTTTAATAAAATTTTTCGTTGGGTTAAAATAATGTGGATGCTTTACTAGAATACTGCTTGCTGTATTACGACCTTAGGACCATTTTACAGTAGTAAATTGGTTTATTGAAAGATAATTTTTTTGTAAGAAAGAGAAACCCACTTGAGCTAGAGTCAAAAGGGAGTGGAATTGAGAAGATGATTGTGTAGACATCTCATGGAAGGCAAGGACACTAATGCAGCCAGACCTCGTGAGTTGCTATAACCATGAAGTGGTAGACTCGGTGATCAATGAAGCTACCCTCTGTTTTTCTCACTCTCACCCTTAGCTTCTCTTGAGAATTTTCTCATTCCCACTTTCATTATCCTTCTGTATTCCTTACAAGATCAGCTTCAAACAAG